ATCAGAATCTGTTTGTAAGATGGGCGGCCACATAGATCAAATTGATAAATAAATAATAATGTGGCCTTGGTAAAGAAACAAAGTTTCCTTTGAATAAAGGTTGTGTTGTTTTTAATTTGTATTACAGATTTCTCCTGAACAAGGCTGATTCAGAGGACAAAACAGAAAAGAAGAGCATTTCTATAAAAAAAAAAACTTCTGTAAATGAAACCCATGGAATACAGTAATGTAGAGCATATAGCAATCTTTGGTTTTTACTCAGTGATACTCTCTTGAAATATCAAAACTGAGGAACATTTTCATCTGTTTTTCATTTTTAACAAGTTAATAGATACTTAGAACCCTTTCCACTTTTTGAGAAAGTCCTCTATATTTCAGAGTATTAATAATAACAAATAAGAGGAACTTTGTAAAAGTAGGAAGTATGCAGTTAGAGGGCAAATGACCCTTTTGGAGGACTGGTTACTTTGGATTAGTGTCTTCAGTGGGTAAGCACTGAAGAGATCCACTCACTCTTCTCCACTAGGTTTGTGGAGTTTCTGTTTCAGATAACTTGTATCCTGTGCCTGAGCCATTTTCTTCTAACTTCCTGAGGAACTTTTCTCTGCAGTGCAACATTTCCCTAATAAGTGCTAATGGCAAGTTAAGCTCTACTCCGTGACCTTAATTAATTGTTTCCTACAGTTGGCACTGTTGCCTGAAATTAATAAGATCCCTGCCTTGACCTTAATAAGTCAATAGCTGATAAGTTTTGCCTCGTGAGTGTATAATAGGCAAAGAACCAGCCTTATCACTTTCTTTTAATGTCAATTCCATATTACTCACCTTGCTTATTATTTCTTCCTTTCCAATGAATGTAAACACAAGTTCCTTCTTGTTAATCATCTCAGTGCTGGGATGAGCAGTCCAAAGGGCAGGGAAAATCTGTTAAGATCTGCCTGGCAATCCCAACTTTCTTATGACCCTAATTCTGGAGGCAGCCCTTCCCACTTGGACTCACCAAGGCAGATTGAGGAAGGATCCCCTGGTGCTGTTGGATGTATTTCTGAATAAATTTTATTAAGGGTCTGTTGCTAGCCTGGCATCTCCCTTGATGTTCTCATTCTTTGGCAGCTATTCTGCAAATTCTAAATTAAATATTGATGCACAGACTAACAACTAGTACTTGAAGCGATGATTTCCAAAGAATGGCTTTTATTACTAATTCTTTTTAAGCAGGGAAAAGCCATGGCTGATATAGGAAATGTCACTGGAGCACTTCAAAGTAGCAACTCACAGTTAACCATCTTCCTTTGAGATGGGCTAATCACCTGGGAGAAAGCTTCTTCAAGCTGTTTTTACTGCTTGGGAATGGAAAGGGTCATCCACTAGAAATATTTTCAGCTGGATAAAGACTAAAAAACTGAAGACTCAATATCTTTTCAATCATCCTGCATAGCAAAATTGTAAGATCATATAATCAATAAAATACAATTTAGAAAAGGAATAGTAAACATCATATACCATTCTTATAAATAGTACATAAGGAAATTAATAGGAGAAAAATAAAGTACCATAAATCTGTCAATAACTATTGCAATTAAGTTTTTTAAAAAATCACCAAGAGAAATGACACTAACAAAGACTGGAAGATTCACACTGGAAACACATGCTGGAATGACCATCAGATTGCAGGACAGGTATTCTGATTGGTTGTCAGACTCCCATGGGGCCATAAGGGGTAACTTTGTAGATTGTCTTGAGTCCCAGGCTTTGTTGAATCTTGCTGGGTGATTTAATGAAGGGGCTTTGGACAATTCCTATGATGGCTTAATGGCTTTGTACAGTTTGGATCTTGAGTGAGGGCTAATCCTACCACTATGGAGCTGGAGGTCTTTTGTCTTGTAGATAAACTGGCACCAAAATATCTGCTGGGGCAGAATTTCTGTGTCTCTTAAGATTTTTATTTCTTTTTTAGGGGAAATATTCTGCCTTTTAAATATTTCCTAGAATATTTCATTCTTCAAGGAGATGGATGTGTGCTAACATTCTACATAGGAAAACACTGTGGTTTTGTGCTCACTTGGGAATTTTTTAAGGTGTCAGAGAATGGGTACCTTATAATTTTGGGAGCAACCAATTTCTTAATATAATGTGGATTTAAATGAGTAATATTTTTAAAAGACAAAATCATAACACTTTCATAAAATATTTTTTATTCTTTGAAAAATAAACATAAAAGCAAAAAATTAATTCATAACATGTTTTAAAATTTATTATATAATTGTAGGAATGCTAAATATAGCTTTATGATAATGGTATTCTATAAGTGTGTAAAATTGATTTTCATGTTATTTTTTGGTATTTACAAATAAACAATATATACAGTACATATTCATCAATGATATATAGCATTTCCTTTAAAAATTGCAATGCAAACAGTATGTCTAATGTACATAACAGTAAAAAATGCTACTATAATATGCTTTGCTAATATATATTACATTAATCAGTGGTAATATTATATATATTTCTATTTCCAAACTCAAATGTGTCAGATGAAACATAACACAGAAAAGAGCAATCAGGCTGAAAAATGATCCATTAGGTTTACTTGTTTGTTTGTATGTTAAACTTTTTTTTCTAGATTCAAAAGTAATCATATGCAGGCTACCTCATTATTTCAAATAATAAACTCCTGGAAATATTTTGCCCCATTTGCTGTTTTAAAATTGCCCATGAATTGACATTGAATCATTTTCACTTTCAATTGACATTGCATCATTTCCACTTAAAAAAAGGAAAAGACTATAGATCTGCTATGTGCAGATATGAACAACACAATATCTAAACATTATTTTAGATTGTCAGAATACTGCATTGTATCCCTAATCTGAAGTGAATCTTGAATATATATCACTTGTCCCCAGGCTTGAGCAGTATCAATATGGAAAAAAAGAGTTGCTCTTTCTTTTTCTGGGGACTTTCATTCATAGAATTTTTGTTTTTCACAAGGAATTTAACAATAAAAAAAAGTAATCCTTCCCAGCTCTACACAACATAAACAAAAATCAGCTGAGCTCTCATTAAAACTTTTATGCGTTAATAGTTTTTATTTCCACTTTCTTTTCTTGTTAAATTATTAGGGTGTATGTGCCTTTTCTATATTAAATGTATATTACAGTAATTAATCCTGAATCCTTAAAATTGTGCTATGATTGTAATATGGTTACTAGAACGCTAAAAAATAAGTTTCAATTTAATTTAAAACTGGATAGTTTTTGCAATATATATTTCTCTAGTTTTTTTCTTTCAGCTTTTTTTTGCAGTCTAGGAGACATAATCAGATTGCAAATGAATATCTTGGAGGTAGGTATCAGATACTACTGAGTATGCATGGCATTCCCCTCTTCCTCTCTATCTTTGGAAGAGGAGATCCATGCATATACAGCAAACAGGTCATATTTCCAGACCCAAAACATGTTGGCAGAAAGATGGCATACACTGCTCAAAAAATAAAGGGAACACTTAAACAACACAATGTAACTCCAAGTCAATCACACTTCTGTGAAATCAAACTGTCCACTTAGGTAGCAACACTAATTGACAATCAATTTCACATGCTGTTGTGCACATGGAATAGACAACAAGTAGAAAGCATAGGCAGTTAGCAAGACATCCCCATTAAAGGAGTGGATCTGCAGGTGGTGACCACAGACCACTTCTCAGTTCCTATGCTTTCTGGCTGATGGTCACTTTTGAATGCTGAGGATGCTTTCACTCTAGTGGTAGCATGAGACAGAGTCTACAACCCACACAAGTGGCTCAGGTAGTGCAGTTCATTCAGGATGGCACATCAATGCGAGCTGTGGCAAGGTGGTTTGCTGTGTCTGTCAGCATAGTGTCCAGAGCATGGAGGCACTACCAGGAGACAGGCCAGTACATCAGGAGATATGGAGGAGGCCGTAGGAGGGCAACAACCCAGCATTAGGACCGCTACCTCCGCCTTTGTGCAAGGGACAGGAGGAGCACTGCCAGAGCCCTGACCTCCAGCGGGCCACAAATGTGCATGTGGCTGCTCAAACGGTCAGAAACACTCCATGAGGGTGGTGTGAGGGCCCGATGTCCACAAGTGGGGGTTGTGCTTACAGCCCAACACCGTGCAGGACGTTTGGCATTTGTCAGACAACACCAAGATTGGCAAATTCGCCACTGGCGCCCTGTGCTCTTCACAGATGAAAGGAGATTCACTGAGCACATGTGACAGATGTGACAGGGTCTGGAGACGCCGTGGAGAACGTTCTGCTGCCTGCAACATCCTCCAACGTGACCAGTTTGGCAGTGGGTAAGTGTGGGATGGTGTGGGATGCCATTTCTTTAGGGGGCCGCACAGCCCTCCATGTGCTCGCCAGAGGTAGCCTGACTGCCATTAGGTACCGAGATGAGATCCTCAGACCCCTTGTGAGACCATATGCTGGTGCGGTTGGCCCTGGGTTCCTCCTAATGCAAGACAATGCTAGACCTCATGTGGCTGGAGTGTGCCAGCAGTTCCTGCAAGACGAAGGCATTGATGCTATGGACTGGCCTGCCCGTTCCCCAGACCTGAATCCAATTGAGCACATCTGGGACATCATGTCTCGCTCCATCCACCAATGCCACGTTGCACCACAGACTGTCCAGGAGTTGGGGGATGCTTTAGTCCAGGTGTGGGAGGAAATCCCTCAGGAGACCATACGCCACCTCATCAGGATCATGCCCAGGCGTTGTAGGGAGATCAAACAGGCATGTGGAGCCCACACACACTACTGAGCCTCATTTTGACTTGTTTTAAGGACATTACATCAAAGTTGGATCAGCCTGTAGTGTTTTCTTTCCACTTTTAATTTTGAGTGTAACTCCAAATCCAGACCTCCATGGGTTGCTAAATTTGATTTTCATTGATAATTTTTGTGTGATTTTGTTGTCAGCACATTCAACTATGTAATGAACAAAGTATTTAATAAGAATATTTCATCCATTCAGATCTAGGATGTCTTATTTTTGTGTTCCCTTTATTTTTTTGAGCAGTCTATATGTCAAAGAAAGAGAAGAGAAATGCTAATATCTATAAATTATCCTGGAGCCACATGAAGTAATGTTGGTGAAAATACATTCTTGAAATATTAAAGAATCCACTTCCTCTAGAAGAAATGGCTACCTGTGTGTGTTCCTGCATTTCCAGCAGAAGTGTGGCCTGGGCATGCACACATGGTGGACAGGCAGCCAGTAAAAAGTCTTCAAAGTACAGGTACCTCTTGTTTAGTAATCACAATTGGCACCAACCAATTGGTAGTTAAGCGCAAAGCAATTGGTAAGTTAAACTACAACGTTGCTTATATTTCAGCATTCCTGTACTTTACAGACCTGCAAATGCAATGATTGTTTATAAAGTTACTTTTTCCATTATAACTTTGGATAGTTGCTAAATGAGGCATTCTCTTTTTTAAAAAAAGGATTACCTTTAGTATGCTTATCCTTTTGCAGAATAGAGCCACTTTAATGCTTCAAGGAACATCAACTGCCTTCTATGGATGCTTTGCACAGCTCTGAAAAATATATTGCTAAAACCTATCCATAGCTGGATGTAAGTATGTTATACTGTATCCTTTAATGAAAATACACTAACTGTGGAAAACATGCAGGTTACTGATTTGTGTTCGGTACCCCTATTCAATGTCCTCATAAAATACTCATCTGAACTTTGATTTATTTGAAAAATTACAGTCTAATTGAGAATTTACTTTACACCTGTATTTAGAAACGCTCACTCCATTAGTTATGGCCATTCCTTGTGGTAAGATTTTCCATTTTTCTTCTTCTCCTTTTGTTCTTTCTGGAGGCGCTCAAGTTCGGCTTCATACATCATTTCCTGAATCAGATATTTTTCTCTTCTCATACGATCCCTTAGATCTTTAGGAAGATCTGGGATTAAATAGGAAATCAAGTGTTTTATGCAAAACACAAGGTGCTGTGAAGTAAGTTTTAACAGCATGTGAGTTTACTACATAAAAACATGAACACTTACAGTAATCTTTATTATTAATAAATGTAATGGGAAAAATACAGTTGTCTCCACACACTCTTTATATTTCTGTATTTCCATTTTTAAAAGAATCACTTCATTTCTATTAACATCCTCACATCCCAAAGAGACCAAGAACAACTACCGGTATCTATTTCTTATTGTACTCAAATAGCAAGTGTCAGTGTATTTAGTTCACTACAATAAAGAAATAGATAGGAGGAGGAAACAATCCAGATACATTTAAGAATTTTTTTTTGTTTTTTTATTTTTAGTACTATTTAAATTAAATTTTAATATGTTCTGTACCTCCCTGATACTATGAGCCATCCTACATAAAAACAACAGCTATTTTGAATTAATAGATTCACATAGGAAGATCTTATACTGTGAATTTATATGAATAGTGTTGTAAAAAAAATTTTTTTTTTTTACATTTCAGCAACCTTTCAATAGATATTGGAAGAGAAAAAAAGTGAGCACAGGCCACTATTAGGAAACCAGAATTTATTATACCCAGTGTTAATAGTATCAGCATTTTATACCTTGACATTGAACAACTAAGTAGCAGTTCAACAGTGATGGGTTTCAAAATTTTTTACTACCGGTTATGTGGGCATGGTTTGGTGGGCGTGGCGTGGCTTGGTGGGTGGGGCAGGGAAAGGATACCGTAAAATCTCCATTCCCTCCCCACTCCAGGGAAAGGTAACTGCAAAATCTCAATTTCCTCCCGATCAGCTGGGACAGGAGACAGAGAAGAGATGGGGGTGAGGCCAGCCAGAGGTGGTACTGCCGGTTCTACGAACTACTCAAAAGTTTCGCTACCAGTTCTCCAGAACTGGTCAGAACCTGCTGAATACCACTTCTGCAGTTCAATCATTTTTAGGTTTTACATTTGGAAGGCTGCAAAACTGAAACTTACCTCAAAAACAATAATAAATGCTAACCGTGCAGCTAAGACATGCCAGAACTGTAGTGTGTAACCATAGGGCACTGGAGAATGAGGGGGATCACGATAGTCTCTGTACCTGAAACGACAAGCAAAAAAAGGATAAATTTTGTCTATTAAAATTCAAAATATCTATCGAATATATATCAACACTACTATGAAATTAAGTCTTTCATGAAGCCTTTGTTCACCATTGAGCCCATTAATAACTGAAATCAAAGGTATTGAAAGGATTATGGAAATTCCCAATATACTCAGCTTCTAGACAAACAAGAAGATGATTTAAACCATTTATGTTTGCATAATTCGTTTGCCATTAAAGAGAATAGTATGACAGTTGTAAATATAGGTAATAATATGAAGAAGAATGACATACCAATCCTATCTGTCATTGACATCCTATTCCACTAAGTACGTATCTTTGTGAGGGACACATGGAATGATGAGGAAGAAAGGGGACACCTGACAAGCTAGTGCGACCAGTCAGATCAACCATGGAAATCAATGGGTTAGGTCATCATATGTCACAGGTTGTCACATTTATCTACGTAAATCTCTGGTTTTTACTTTACTACTTGTGCTTCTTACCTATTTCTTGTGTTTCTTTCCCTCTTCTATCTATATCTTGCTCTTCTTCATCTTTTGGTATTAAAATTCAAACATAGCTTCTGCATTACATTTAAGAGCTGTTATATTTTCATAACAGGTTTGATGTGACTACAGATAATCCTCAGGTTACAATGGCAATTGGAATTGGGAACTCCATCAGTAAGCAACATGGTTGTAAAGTGTGTCATCACATGATCATGCCATTTAGTGATGCCAATTCTGGCAGTTCCAATTGCCATTGTTAAATGAAGAGCACACGGATTGTTAAATGGGGGCCTCCTATTATTAACTGCAATAGTATGGTAAAATGTCTTTGGGAAAATAGGCAAAATGATGCTGTCTAGGGAACAGTCAGATAAGGGACAGCATAGCCCATAGCTGCATAATGGGTAAAAAAAAGCTTAGGAAGGACTTTTCTTAAGCTGATGGCAGAGAGAACTGTACTTTCACACTTATAGGATTCTGTTAATATACCGGTAGTTTTACAATGAAGTAGAAATAACTTATGTTTCTTATTGGGTCTACCTAGTAAGGCTGACTTCCTGCTGCTTACCCATTTTCTTTGCTTGTGGGAAGTCAGCAAGGAATGTTGGAAATTATGCTCATGTGACCAGCAGGACATTGCAAAATCCGAAATTCTGAGGACTTATCCTAGGTCTCCCTTATTCAATGCCGATGTAACAACAGTCACTGAATGAATAGTCATGATCTGAACTACCTGTACAAGTCACAACTTAAAGGCAGATACCAATGGTCTCCATAGCTACTAATGTCTCTTGTATCTGTGGGAGGATGTCAGAACAGGCCAGATGGTGATTGTGGTATGATTGAGGCTCTACCAGTTTGTACATGATTCAATGTCATGCATATCGGTTTTTATCATGCTACAGCTACCTTGCCTGTTTGTCCCCTCCCTGTGGATGTGAGTGGATAATGTTCTAGCTTTTTCTATAATAAGCATCTTAGTCCTTTGCTTCATATGCACTACATTGGATAAATTAGTATTTTTACCATCCCATATTGCTGATGGAAGTTGTGATGAAGACCTAAAAAATCAGTAAAATCCTGATTTGATTTCATATGGCATAAAAAGTTTTTATTTTACTTGGGCAATCATTTAAAGTTTTCTATTTCTGAAAATGGATTTTTGTAGCTACTATTGCTTTAGGTCAGGATTGTGAAACTGGTGGCCCGCAGGATGGATGTGTACACCCGGGCCATGCCCACTCCAGCTCCATGAAGGGGGAAAACATCACAAAACGTTACATGAAAGCAATGTGACACCGCAAGTTTGACACCTGTCTTTAGGTCAATGTTATTTTTTTAAAAAAAAGATGTCTACTGTTTTGAATAAAACTAATGATGGTAAAGCAGTAAAAATTCTGATAAACATGCAGCATTTTCACACATATTTCTTTACCTGCAATATTTTAAAGATGCATCAGAAAACTCACTTCCATTTGATGATGCCTCTGAACGATGTTCAAAATCAGACACCAGAAATAGTGATAAACTTGCATTAAGATAGCCAACCATACACCTAGAAAGAAAGAATGATTTTACTCAGAAGTCAGCCTTCTTACACCAGATTCTGTAATAAGTACTCACAAAAACTCAGGTCCATGTTACTTAGATCATTTGCTAACAATGAACATCCTAGGAGGAGCTGTTGGATTTAATTCTGGATTGACGAAAATAATACAGAAATTATATGCCAAGCTTCTGATCATTTACAATTGAGAAAATAAGAGTAAACATCTCTCCCAAAGCATTAGTCTGGTTATTTGTATGTTGAGATAAATATACACCGAGGATTTTATTATCTGGAAAAAACACAAAATTATTCAGTTTTTTAAAGGGCTTAGGGTTTCATAACTTCAAGAGAAAAATACTGATTCTCAATTAAAATATTTGTTCTGCAATCACGTTATATAAAATTATTTAAAAAGAAATCCCAGTCAATGGAGAACTGCACATGGGGTTCTAGTTAGTAATTCAGCAAATGAATATACTTTATTTTAGTCATTAATCAATTTTTAGTTAATCTATTTTTAATACTGAGCCAAAGGCCTATAAGGAAAAGATACTTTTTTCACAGTTGGAATGAAGAACAAACTTAACAAAATTAAAACTACAGAATATCCATTGGGTTCAATGGAATCTTAATAAAAGCAAACTTAGATGATACTGATTCAGTTGAAATGAATGGGATGAAGTGGAATAGGACACACCGAATGCAGTATGGATCCAACCATTTTTATGTTACTATATTCTTCCTAAATAATACTTTTATTTTCAAACTATTATAATATATATTAGTTAAATATTTATTTGTGAGTATGCTAAATATATACTTCTCTCATGCTGATTTTTTTTTTGTATTTTCAACTTCAATTGGCTCAACACACGTATGAATTTTTTAAACTTCAAATCAGTTTATTAATCCTAGGGAAAAAAATAACATATAACAATGAAATGTCATTAAATACAAATGACAATATTGTAGAATTGCCTTGTCTTAGAATTACCTTTATTTGTCCGCAGATATAGCATATGATCACATCATTAGCTACATGAGACTTCATTACTTCCAAGATTTAAAAAAATATATGTCATTCCACCCCTAATAAAGCCCCTTTCTGAACCTAAACGGGATACAAACAACTCAAACTCTGGGGAGCCCATCATAGGAAGAATGGCAGCTTTGAAAAAGCCCCCGGATATGGCAATCTTTTGACAGTGATCGGTTGACAGCTACAACTGGAGTGGAGTTCAAGCACTTTCTACTGGTCACTATGATGGATTAAATACATAACTTTATTGACTTTCTTATAAAATGGGTTGTTTAAACTGCTACGTTTCTTCCAGTTCTCACCACTGTTCTTAATACTAGCAGCTTAAGATGAAAAACTTTATATAATGCAGTTTAAAAATGTATTTCCTCAGAAAAAGCAATGCAGCTATACATTGCTAGAAAGAATAATCAATAGTTCAGCTCCTCACACTCAGCTTTACAGGATTTTTTTTATAGAAATTAAAGCAAGAGAATATACTGTAGGCTTTCCCTCTGTCTGAAATTAAGTGCCAAATCCTTGACTCATTAATGAATTAGCAGAAATGCATACCCAAAATTATAACTTTGTGTCTTTTATTCTTCTGTGACAAAAGCAGCAATAACATCCAAATATATTCACTCATAAGAAAATTCAAATTTCCAAAATAGCTTTCTGTATAGCAGGAATGCAAAATATAATACATCTAAATGGTTAATGAAACAAATGCTGCCTAGCTTATTCTGATTCAGATATATAGATATGCCATCTGTGGTCATTCAAAAGCCTATATATTACTGAGAGATTTATTTCATAGAAAAGAAATATCAAAATAGAAATAATCGATCTTATTGGTCACAGAGAAACATATTGTTTTATGTGGTGGCATTATTTAATATTTTTTAAAGTACAGTTATCTTTAATATGACAATCACAAATATATTTGTTTAGTTATTAGCATCAGAATACTTGTTCTTTCTAAAAAACTTTGTGGCCTGCTTTCTCATAAATAGCTAATAAAACTTGGCTGTATTATTGGTGATTTAGTCTCCCTCAAATTATTTTTATTATTTTTGCAGTAGAGTCAAGCAGCAGAATAATTTGGATGCAAAGAAGAAGGTTAACAATGATATTTCTCTTTAAATATCTCATGAAACAGTTCATAGTCCTACCTATGGAAAACTGAATGAGGTCTTAGACATGTTACTATGGGGTTCTAAAACTGAAACTGCAAAAGATATTTGGATTATTTTGTAGCATATTTCTTAAAAAATTACTTTTGTCCGGCCTCTCCTTGACCTGCACATGGTCCATATTTGTAAGCATAAACAAGCCGTGGGATGAAATCTGAAGTCACAGCAATAACAAACGCATTTGTGATGACAGAAAGAATTCCAATGCCTTCAAGAATTCCATACCAGATTCCTAACAAAAGAAAAGAAGAGGCATGTCAGTTTCAGCTTCTGAAATTATTAGCTAAATTGTAGCATTTATGCACTACTTTAATCAACATTATTTATGGCCCAGTTCTAGATAGGTCTACCAGACGTATGCCTACAAAATGTCAATACCAAAGATTTCCCCATTAGATGTTTTTTCAAATGAATTAAAAAAATCAGAATCTGGTAGTACCCATTGATAAATCTTAATAAGTTTTTGCAATGTGCTAGTTGGAAAAGGTGCTCCCAGACTCCTATTAATGTTTGCTACTATAGACTAAGTTGTTATTCTCCTATGGTATCTATAAATGTATTAAAACTAAAAGCTTGCCACCCTGAGTCTGACATCTACAACTCACCAAATCTGGAAAGCACCAAAGGAAATCTGATTTACGGGATCCACCTTGGTATATCAAAATATTCTAACATTGGACTATAATTATGATCTATAATGATGGTAGCACAACTCTGCTATTTAAGAAGCTTGAAACACAGAATGTGTTTTGTGAATACATATTGTACATATTGTTTCGGAATTTCTGTTGGAACATTCTGGAAGTGCTAGGGCAGAACTGAAATGCAATATCTTGGTTGTTTGGGGTTTCAACCAAGATAAAATCTGGGTAAGCTTTTTTCTTTGACCCTCCCATGGGCTGTGCATTAGCCTGCCTGCTGATCTTTACAGTGTCTTCTTTTCCTTTCCTTATAACAAAGTTTGAAGCTAAGGACATTGATAGCAGCTAAGGGGAAGCAGGGAGAGAAGAATCTTTGAAAAGTTCAGAGACAGGCAAGCTAATGAAAGGTGGCATCAAGGGAATGAAATGAATGAATGGGTTCAACCAATCTTCTTACCTTTCCAACATCTTTCTCTCACCACCTCCACTTTGACACCACTGTATCCTCATTTGGCTCCTCTCCCTCCCAGTTTCTGCCTGGTACACACTATCTATTCCAGACATGGGCTAAATACTTGTTTTGGTTTGGATAGAAATAACTGGAAATTACCCTTGCTTTGTTTGCCTCAAACATTTTTCACATCACTATAATTCAATGCTACAAGTATGGGAGAATTTGAAAAGGCAAGGTCCAAGATAGTAAGCTTATTAAAAATGGTCTCTTCAAAGTATGAAACACCTTGTGGTATTACCTACCTGATACTTTATTGGCTATCTGTTACTTTATTAGCTACCTGATACTTAATTCATTTTTGATTTTTTTTAATGTGAAAATGAGCAAATAAAAGTGTCTCAGAAATAAGCTATTCCTTGAACAATATTTCTGGAAATTGCAGCTGGGAGGATATGTGTATGTTCGAATAGTCTATATTGTTAAAGAAAGGCTTTATACCAGTAATGAGCTAGCACAATTGGATTATGGCTCTTACTTATTATCCAAGTAATCACTAGCAGATGATCTTGGCTGATCTTGAAACAAAGCTAAGCAAGATTGGACCCTGTTACTTCTTGAATGAGACAGGATCTGATAAGTTAGTCTGAAAAACATCCCAGAAGATGACTAGATAATCTTAGATTACAAATTTAGACTTCAATTTGCTATCGTACCAACACTTTGCACCCATTAAATATTCTGTTTACCAATATCTTTTGCTTTGGAAGCTAATGGCCGTCTCCACTGGGTGACAAATTTGTATGCATCAACGCGTATTTCAATGATATTGTTCAATAAAGCCAGAAGTGGAGCAAGTGGAAAAGCTGCTACAAATATGGTTGTGAATCCAAACTGGAGGACTGAGAAGGAAAATGAGAGAAGGAATGTCATATTTAGCCACTTATATTTAACACATATTGTGTATGATCAAAGGCCAATAAAAGTGTACACTAAAAATTAAATTCAGAATAAGGGACGAATACAAAGCTTATGATTTCTATATAGAAATAAACATTTCTTTTGCAACCCACAACATTAAATACTAACAATGGCAGATTCATAAGAGTAGATATTCTTTCTATACAGATTGGAATCAGTCTACCCCAGAATAAATAGTACACCTATAGATTTGCAGACTGTAAATCTGCTGCGTAAACATTGCTGCTTAAAATGCCAAGGTACAAATCAAAATATACAATGCTTTATCATCTCCAAAATAATTAAAATAATCTAAGCTTCTAGATTAAATCAGTTTATTTTTTCAGTACCCCCTCTTTATCAATGCTATAGTTTGAAATGCTAGAAGGCATAGTATTTACTCTTAAGAGTCATGGATGCAACACTCTCCTGGAAGTTTTTATTTTTTTTAAAAAAACATTGTATCAGACCATGGGTAATATATAAACAACACCAGAATCAGGCAACAAAGAAAGAATTGTTTATACTCATTTCGAGGTATTCATCAAAGAGTCCATAGGCATTCAAAGGCAGCAAGTTGTAGTCTTTTTCCCATTGTGGTAAAGTTGTTTTTTGCTGTGAACCATACTCTTGTCGCAGTCTTCGTCTGGTCCACCAGTTCTGAATTATCCTGCATATGTGAATATTATTTTTATATATTTTTCAGATCACTTAAATTTGAAGTTTTCATTTTTGCCATACATTTGTTTTGTTTTTAATAGAGATACTCATTTTTACACAATCCCAATAAAAATAACCACCTAACAAAAACATAATTAAAATAAGCACCTTAAAAGAATAAAATAAAAATTGGAATAACCAATGTACTAATAATCTGATTGCCAAAAATGCTAAGTTCGGCTGTGGTGGACATAGCTGTGAATGTCTGAAGCTGAATCTCTTCTCAGCAAGATGACACTTTGGCTCTTAGCGCCTATTGAAAGGCTGGTGGGATGCTGAAAATTCCTCTGGATGGAATAAGAACATATCCACGCCATGAGCATATAGTTTGAGAGAGCTTTATAACTCATCACTGTTGGAACTTCATCAAAATGAGTATTGTTTAAGACTTAGAGCTATTCTGGAAGACCCAGATGAAGATATCCAGGAAAAGGTGATCCAAGTCCTGGGTGATTGCTTGGCAAGTAGATTTCCCCCAAAAAATTCATATATGGCAAAATATATAGAATTAACTCTTTTTATATGACAATAAGAAAGGTTCCAAAAGATTCATTGGTGCATTTTTTAAAGGAAAGTAACGAGAACAAATCCTTCAATGCCATTTCAAAGCTCAACAATGTAGAGGTAGTTATTTTGAAAGAAATTCTTATTAGAATCCTATGTATGAGAAAATACTACTCTTTCCTGACCGAAATATTAAAACTACCCATTTTGTTGGGAAAAGTTAGAAGACATAGATTTTATCTTGGAACAAAAGATAAAAGATGCTTAGATTTAGACTAAATACTGTGTAAAAGGCCAGAGAATTTCTAGAGAAATTAAAAAAATATGAATTACAACAGACCCAGAAAGGCATTAAGGAGAAAACACCCAAACAAATTGAGAGACAAGTATATGACCAGCAAGAAATAATAACAAATGATGAGTTGAGGGCTATGGACACCGACTTTTCAAAAACAGTTCATTAACTATGTAATAAGATGCTTAATCTGGAACATATATGGTGCCAACTCGTCCCCAAAAAGGAAAAAAAAAACCTATTTCACCACTTTAAAAAAATGATATAATGTGTCTTCAGGAAACAAATATTAGAAAAAAAAATACTTCATTTACAAAAATTTAGATGAATTTAGCTCAGCAGAATCAAATAAAACTAATGGCAGTATTCCATATATCAACCCCCAATTAAAACCATAATTAATAACAACTGTTCAGGATGGTAAATATGTAAGGATAGAAACAGAACTAGATGGCCAAAAAAACTTGTGTGCTGGGGATTTATGCACTGAACACTATAAATACTATCTACAAACATATGATGGACCTAGTGTTAAATCTACCATACCAATGTTGATGTCTGATAGGCGACTGGAATGCTATGGTGTTTCCACAACTGGATAGAACATCTGAAAAAATAATCAAAACTACCCAAGGAAAATTGCCAAAGTGCTTCTTGCAGAAAATTTAACATTAGCCAATATCTACAGATTAAAAAATGGTAATTCTAGAGAATACACCTATTTTTCACCAAATCATTTTCAAAATAAACATGATAAGAATTTCAAAAAAAAAAGTTACTCTGGCCTCAAAGGCTTTCTTTGATCACAATCCAGTTGAACTTACTTTAAGAAATAAATCAGTAAACTTTAGATGGACACTTAATGAAACTTTATTACAGAAAGAGTGAATAGTAAAGATGTCAAGGAGAAGTTAGCAGAATTATTTGACAAAAACCTAAACAAAGGTATAGACATAAAAAGAATATGGGATGCAAGCAAATTGAAAAAGAAAGCCCAGGAAAAATCTGGGAGATCTTACAAGAAATTAAAAGTAAAGAAGAATTAAGGATATCACCTACAAAAATAAACCTTCTATACTAAATTTATTATCTATGTGTTTAGATAATTAGAGAAAAAAATTGAACACCCTTAAACAAAATAACGTTGAACATGCAAATAAACTGAAGTTTTTGGCCTATACATTAAGGAATGAAAAAGAGAAGATGATTTTGAAACTCCAGGAGGATGACACAAATAATTTGGCAATACAGAAACCTTTCATTATTACTATTCCAATTTATATAAAGCAGGGGGCCAACCCCAGGACTATGATCCACTGATGGGCTGTACTCTATTTGCAACTGGACTGTGCAAGTGATGGGCTGGCGCATGTACAATTTGACGAGCATGAATGGCAGGCTGGACTGCACATGCGAGTCGGGCTGCATATGCATCTGCATTGGCCCCTCACATGAGTCGAGCTGCACACATGCTGGCCCACCACTTGTGCGGCCTGGTTCCATTCCCCCCCAACCCCTCAGAGCCGGGCTGCCAAGCTTCAAAGGTTAGGGACCACTGATATAAAGGATTCTGACATCTCCTCACAATAAATAGAATGTTATCTCTAAAAGCAGAATGAACAGGTTACACTGCCCAGTAGGTATCTGTCAGCAAGTATTCTGTACATGTTACAATAAGCAGGCAATAATATGTATATTTTTAAAAAGGACATACGTACGGGTAGCCTAATTCCATGAAGTTGCTCCAAGTCTGCTTTAGCACCATTATAATACCCATCTGCATACAGAGATCAATAAGGCATCCACTAGGGTGGCACTGCAGAAGAAGCAGGCAGTAAGGGAACAAAGGGAATTTTAAGCCACGCTGACTGGGAATTATTGGAAGGAAACACCAGCACTCATACTGAGGAATACTGGCAATACATAGTTCACAGAACTCAGCCTTGTATGTATCCTTATTGTATTGTATCGTTCTTATGTACATCTTTCAAACACTTCCTTGTACCTTGGAGGAAGAATTTACATACTGCTTTTTATGGATTTATGGAGGAAGAATTTATGGAGGAAGAATTTACAAACTGCTGTTTAAATTTGTCCATAAGTGCTTATACTAGGTTGGGCAATTCATAACCCATAGAGCAGTGAACCTTTTTTGCCTCGGGTGCCAAAAGCACATCCCCACACCTCCACTACCCCACACATATGTGCACGGCTTTCTTAGAGCCTAGGGAGGGCAAAAACGGTCTCCCACGCAGGCCGGAAATGGCCCATTTTCCGACTTCCGGTGGGCCCATTAGGTCCGTTTTTTCGCCCTCCCAGGCTCCAGAGGCTTTCTAGCAGCCTGGAGAGGGGAAAAAATGGTCCAACATGCAAACCAGAACTTCAGGAACGGACATCCGGGTTGCCCATTGGGCTGGTCTCCTCCTCCGGAGGCTTCAGGAAGCTTCCCTGAAGCCTCCTTAAAGAAAAAAACAAACCAATGGGCAAACTGGAAGTCCGTTCCCAAACTTTCAGTTTGTGCGTTGGGCAGTTTTTCACCCTCTGGAGGCTTCAGGAGCTTTGGTCCCTGGGAATACCAGTTTTAGGTGATGTCTTGCATTGGCATTAATAACAGAAGCTACAAGGATTGAAGTGGGGAATCAAGGAAATCAGTTTTTATCTGTATGACTGATTGGCTGTAAAGTATGAAAACCTTCCCAGATCTATTAATGATTAGCTGTACAGGCACACATTTTCATCTGCTAGGAAAATGATTTCTGAAGCATGGGCAATGAGGTCTACAGACTGGTCAGTCTGGGAGTGATCAAAACCTAAGCTTTACTGACATCTGCCTCCTGCCATGGACAATACAAAGCCAGAAAAAGCTTGAACAGTAGCAGTCAGTCAAATGGAGTTAAACTAGATTATTTTCTTAACAAATGTGTATAGTGATTGGATACTACAATGGATACTTTTACTACCATTCCATATGTATTTATATAGGAGTAGGCCACATTAACGCAATAGCAATTACTGTATTTTTCGGAGCATAAGACGCACCTCCCCCCCCCCAAAAAAGAGGGTAATAATCTGGGTATGTCTTATATGCTGAATACAGCATTCTTGGCCTCCCGAAACCCCGCCTCGCACATCCCATTTTTCACAAATATGGATGCGCAGAGGATTTGGGAGTCCTATAGAGTGTTCCTGGAGGCTTGGGGGGGGGGGGCAAAATCGAGTGAAAATGGGCCTATTTTTCACAAAAATGGGGGTATTTTTGCCTCCTAAGCCCCCAGGAGTACTCTGCAGGCCTTTCAAACACTCTGCATTCCCTGTTTTTGGAAAAAAATGGGCCCATTTTTGCAAAAAATGCACCTGTTTTTTTCATCTCCCAAACCCCACATGTGTCGCGTTGTTGCCCTCCCAAGCCCCCAGGAGCACTTTGGAGGCCTCATAAACTCTCTGCATGTCCCATTTTTCACAAAGTGGGTCATGCAGAGGATTTGGGAGGCCTGCAGAGTGTAACTGGGGGGCCAGGGAGGACAAAAACGGTTTTTAAAAATTTACCACTTCAAAATCTTGGTGCGTCTTATAATCCAGTGTATTTTATAGTCCGAAAAATATGGTACTTCCAATAAATTGCACTGTTAATTACTTCATACATTATTTTTAGTACATTAGATATATTTTAGATACTATAAATTATGATATACTTCCAGATACTTTTGAATAGCTTATTTCAACCCTAAGAATGTATGTGTTGAAACTTTGTACAATATGCTTCAATATTAACATAAAACACTTACTTCTTCTAGTCTCCATCTGTTTATCAGCCTGAGGTAGGCACCAGGGTGACCTGTAAACCTTCAATATAGGAGAGGTCATCATCTCTTTGCAGGTACGTTTTTGATCAAAACAATAGGAATGTAAGAGGAGAAGATCAAAGACGAGAGGCACAATTGTATTTTTCCATGGAAAAGGGCATTTAATTTGCATTAATGTTAGTATTTTAATGTACAATGTACCAATTGCTTTTTAAAACTATTTTTGTGGTTTATATAAGAATCTAAATCAGGGGTGTCAAACATGATATCATTGAGGGCTGCATCAAGATTGTGTTTGACCTCGGGGGGTAGGTGGGTGTGGCCAGGTAGGCATGGCCAGCTCAACATCACTCATGTCAGGGGTATCTGTGGTGGCCCAGGTGGGGCTGGGGAATCCACTTTTCCTAGTAGTTTGTTTTGCTAGTACTCTGCCAGCAAAAATGGAGCTTGAAGGGTGTGTGTGTGTTTGTGTATGTGTGTGTGTGTGTGTGCGTGTGTGTGCCCCTGGACTCCGTTTTTGGCTGTGATGGCCTCCTGCAGCCCTCTGCCAGTGAAAACAGAGCTTGGGAGGCTGCACGTATCCCCTGCCCCAAACTCTGTTTTTTTTCTGGCAGAGGCACCACGGGCCAATCCTTTGCTATTTCCAGGGTAGTACTGCGGGCCAGATCTAAGTACCCAATGGGCCAGATCCAGCTTATGGGCATTGAGGTTGACACCTCTGATCTAGATGAAACATAAAAGTTATTTTTCCTAACTGTGTAAAAACAAGATGTTGGCTAACAATAATAATTATGTTCTTGGTTTTGATTCATACCAAAGATAACTATTTCAGCTTAGCCATATCGAAATATTTATGATAAAACACATATTAATCTTTCAAACAAATGATAAATTAGTTTTCAGGTGTTGGTGAACATCCCCAAAATATTTTATTAAAAAAGTGGAACCTTCCAAATGATTATTTGATACATTGATGTATTAAAAGACAATACGGTCTTCACAGTTGCAGTCTACTGCTGACTCATACTTAAGCAGTGGTGCACTCAGACACCTAGATATGTCTTTTCATTCACCTATATTTGTGGAGTTAGTTTGCAACATAGCATTTAAACTGCTGATAGAGATCTTATCTTGTGTAGAATAGCCTCAGCACACTTGGAATAAAACTGGGCTTTAGTTATGCTTGTGACATATTGTCCCAAATATAGGTAGCTCTTGGTTATGATGGCAACTGGGAATGGAAGTGATGCCATTGTAAAGCACCACATGACCACATTACTTAGTAATCATAGTCCTTGTAATCCTAGTTGTTGCCATAACTCAAAAACCGCATGGGTCATTAAGCATAGACTGTCATGTGGTAAGATGGGAAATCAGGCAAATAGGTTGGCAGGTGAGAGCTAAGGACAAGTGGGAGGGTGCTTTGGGAGATGACTACAGTATGTGGGAGGGTATCAGAGGCAGGCACTACAGAACATGCATGAGTGGGGAGGCAGGGAATTGTGGTATAGACTGTATGGAGGTGAGTGCCGTGGGAAAATGCTATAGAGCGTAGTCGGGTAAATGAATTAATTTATAAAATGAGTCCAAACTCTGGGATCCATGATTCATATGAAATTAAAATTTGGTAAATTTTGACATAAATTATGGTATAAATTATGACATTATGACATAAAACTACTTTAAAATAGTTATGATATAATAGAAAATGTCATATAAGGTTCCCTGTGCTGATGCTTGACAGTGCTATACATCCCAACATGAATGCATCCCAACTTTTCCAGTGAAGGCAGTGCATTAGAAGCTTTGCCATTATTGAAGGCACTGAGGAATTTGGTAAGGAAATATCTCTGAAATGATGACCCGAAGGGTTATACATTGTCTAGTATTTATTAAAGATGGGGAAAAATCGACAGAGAGATTTAGGTTTTGCACATGATGGCAATGCATACCGTTAATATGTATGCAAGGAATTTACATTTATTAAAAGAAGCTAAAATGGCTGCTTGTATTTTCATCCATTATGAGGAGAAATGTAAAAAGGAAGGCCAATGCAGTGGGAAAGACTTAATCAAGAAATATGTGATAAATTTAGAACAGATAGTGTCAAGAATGAATAAATGCTTAATGAATGTGAATACTGAAAAATGGGTGATATTGTGAAATACAAAAATGGTATGCTTTATTTATTTATTAATTAAATTTATATGCTGCTTATCTTACTGATGAACAATGATGAACAATGAGGTGATGGAAGTAAAGGATGCATGGGAATAATTGAAATGCTTAATTAATGACTGAACAGAGTAAGATAATATTTATTTATTTGTTTAACATTTTTATGGATACAGTACAAAAGAAATGTGTTGAAAGGGCTTGGTTTTATGTAGAGAATGAATTATTAAATCACACAGAGAAGATTGAATGGGTTGATAGTAAGAGGAAGATAGAAAAAGTGGTTTTGGGTGGAACTAAGCTGTGAAATTTAAAGAATAAAAAGCAATGTATGAGGCAATGTATGAGTTAATGTATGGACATAGTGAAAGAAAGATAGAATTTAAGGGGAGATATAGTATATGGGGGTAGGAATATTTCTCCTATGTTCTATTTTTCATTACTCTTTCTTACTGTTCTTCTGCACTTGCTGTAACATTGCTTAACCACAAGGGAATAGCATGTTCTTATGTAAGTGGTATTACAGACAAAAATACAGAATGTTAATGTGACTCCCCAAAAGTGCCTTTAGTGATCACAGTTAATCTACATTTAGGAACTTTGAGGGACATACTATATTCTACTACTTAAGGCATACTTAGCATTAATTCAAAACAAACAATAATTTTACAAAGATGCAGATATCATATTAATTAATCTTACCTTCCAAGGAAAAATGCTATATAAAAGGTAGAACTGTTCAGATTAACAAACTGAAAAAGAAACATTTTCAAAGTGAAGCTGTTTTCCCACTCAGATTCAGTACGAGGCTGCTCTGTAATGAGAAAAAAAAGGGAATTTTAATATTTATTGAAATTTGAACACTAGATTTGGGGAAACTGCATGCACCATACAAGTCTAGAAATGTCTCAGTAATCTTAGTTACAGATCTTGCTTACAATGCTGCCCATATTCAGGGAAAGTCCTAGTTTCTGAGACAGTACTTCTCAACTTATGCAATGTTAAGATGTGTGGACTTCAACTTCCAGAATTCTTCAGCTGGAATGGGTAGTTGGTTTCTTACCTGATACGCCCCTTCTCTGAGCAGGTGAAGACAACAACCATGCATGGGTTAACTTAGCCAGTAACCAATAAGACTGAGTTTACTAAATTAACGTCATAGCTTCTGAGGATCATCTTGACGAAGGAGATAAGTAGATTGCTTGTTCTATTAGATTGTTCTCAATATCTCAGTTCTGTAGAGTTCAGCATTACTGCCCCTCAGCGAACTAGGCCTGCACAGAGAAAGGGTGGGGATGGCTGCTGTCTCCACCTGCCCAGAGAAGGGGCGTATCAGGTAAGAAACCAACGCCCCATTCTCCAAAGTTGGTGGAGTCAGCAGCCATGCATGGGACGTACCAAAGCTTGGACTGTCCAGGGGTGGGAGTGTGACGGCCTAGGAATCTGATGAGGGAAGCACTTGTTGAAGTACCCTCCTGCCGAAAGCTGTGTCTGCAGATGCATATCTATCCACCCTGTAGTGGTGGATAAACGGAGTAGTAGTAGTCCATGTGGCTGCCTTGCAGATTTCCTCCACCAAGGCTTGCGTAGACCACGCCGTCATCGTAGCCACACTGCGTGTTGAATGTCCTATGATGTTGGATGGTGGAGTGATGTGGTGAGCTTGATATGCCCTCGAGATGGCATACCTGATCCAGCATCCTATCATCAAAGAAGAGGTTTTACATCCCTTCTTGGTGGAATGAAAAGAGACAAAGAGGGCCTCGGTACGCCTGAAGTTGGCCGTTCTGCTGATATAGATCTTCAGGGCCCGACACACATCTACTGTGAGTCACTTGTGTTCGAACCTGTCATTTGGCTTGGGACAAAAGTTAGGAAGGGTCAGATCTTGAGCCCAATGGAAGGCCGAATTTACCTTAGGGACAAAGGTGGGGTTGAGCCGAAGAACCACTTGGTTCGGATGGAACACGCACAGATCAAATCTGATGGACAGCGCCGCCAATTCCGAGACCCGCCGTGCTGATGTGACGGCAACAAGAAAAACTGCTTTTAGCATGAGGTGTTGTAATGAGGCAGACCTCAACTGTTCAAATGGTGGTTCGGTGAGGAAGTCAAGGACCTTGGCGAGGTCCCCCGTAGGGAATCTATGGGTGACTGGAGGACTGTTAGAAGCGCCCCTGAGGAAGCATCAAACGTGAGGGTGCAAGGAAAGCAGTTCAGACCGATGTAGCGAGAGAACCGAAGAAAGAGACGCCACCTGCCGTCTTAGGGTGTTAGGCGAGAGTCCCTTGTCAAGACCCTGTTGCAAGAATTCTAAAACCTCAGCTACTGAGGCCTCGGGAGAAGTAATATTCTGGGAACGGCACTATGCAGTGAAAGTTTGCCAAGAGGATTCATAAATTCTGTTAGTAGATGGGTGTCGAGATGCCTGAATAGTCCTGATTACACTGACAGAAAGGTTAGCCGCTGTCAAGGCTGGGCGCTCAACCTCCAGGTGGTTAGATGAAGCCATTGGAGGTTGGGGTGGTGAATGGACCCCTGCAAAAGAAGAGACTTGAGCATGGGGAGTCGCCATGGCGGACCTACTGATAGATTGACAAGGTCCTTATACCACAGTCGGCGCAGCCAATGGGGAGCAATAAGGATGAGTTCCGCCTCCTCCTCTATCATCTTGCTGATTACCCTCTGTATCAGGGGGAAGCGAGTACAGCAGGCCAGTTGGCCATCTGCACCTTAGGGTGTACTTCCGCCACTGGTATCGTGTAGTGAGTGAAGTACCTTGGAAGTTGATTGTTGGATCTCGTTGTGAAGAGATCCAGAACAGGAATCCCATACCTTGTGGTCAACTGTCTGAAGATGCGACGGTTCAGGCTCCATTGCGTAGGGTTAATCGTTGTGCGACTTAACCAGTCTGCCTGTGTGTTGTCAGTGCCTGAAATATGTTGGGTGTGGAGAGAGAGCAGGTTGATTTCTGCCCAAGTCCCTAGGCGAAAGGCAGATTCCATGAGCGATATGGCCCTCGTCTCCCTTGGCGGTTGACATGCACCTTGGCCGTCGTGTTGTCTGTGAGAATCAGTATGTGGGAGTTGCGTACTGATGACTGGAAGTGGAGGAGGGCCAGATGGATAGTCCTCAACTCCAGCCAATTCATGCTGTGGGTGAGGTCGGAATTGGACCACAAGCCTTGGGCCACCTGATCACCTAGGTGAGTGTCCCACCCGGTGAGACTGGCGTCTGTTGGGGCTATGAGCCGTGGAGGCTCCCTGAAGAGGGACCCCGGGAGATGGCTGGAGAGACCCACCATTCTAGGGAGCAGATCACCTCTGGTATCAATCTGACCTTCACTAGGGAGCAACTGCTGTTGGTCTTTTGGTACGGTAACAAGAACCACTGGAGGCAGTCGCTGTGAAGCTGTGCCCACGGAACAATGGAGAAGCAAGAGACCATTTTCCCTAGTAACTGTGACAGTTGAATCAGTGGAACCTGTTGTTTTATCCGCACTTCCTTGGCTAGGTCCTTGAGGATGACCTGTCATTCTAGGGACAGAAAGATTTTCCCCTGCATAGAATCTATCAGGGCTCCCAGGTGGACTAGCCGGGAGGTGGGAACTAGGTGGCTCTTTTCTCAATTTATGGAGAAACCCTGTTCCTGCAACACCCGAATGGTGGTTTGGAGATCCTGGAGAGCATGATTGTGTGATCTGGAGAGCAAGAGAATGTCATCCAGATAGCACAATATCCGAATGGGTCTGGCTCGGAGGTGGGCCGCTACTACCGCAAGCAGCTTGGTAAAAGCCCTTGGCGCTGATGACAGCCCAAAAGGGAGGGCCCGATACTGGAAATGACTGCCTGCATAGATAAACCTCAGGAACCATCTGAGTCATTTGAGAATGGGCATGTGGGGGTAAGCCTCTGTGAGATCCACTGAAGTGAGGAGATTGTTTTTGTGCACACTCTACAGAATTGACAGGAGAGAGTGCATTTTGAATCTCCTGTCGGTTAAGAAATTTGTGATCGAGGATCGCTCTCCAACCCCCGAAGACTTTGGCACGATAAAGAAACGAGAGTAAAATCCCCGCCCTACCTGGCCTGGAGGCACAGGTTAAAAGGCCCGAATGAGGAGCAGGTGATGGATGGCCTGCTCTACCAGGAACTTCTTGTGAGGGTCTCTGGAGATCGGGCACATGACAAAGTGGTCCGGAGGGCTGGAGCGCAAGTCCAAGGTTAGGCCAAATCTGATCGTGGACCTGACCTACGCATCATTGGGGATGTCATTCCAACAATCCGCGAAGGCTGCCAGACGTCCCCCAATTGGGAGGGAGTCCAGGCAGTCACTTCTGCCTTTTGAAGGAGCGGCTGGAATTATCCCTGAAGGACTTCCGGGGGGAATCGTTGATTATTCCTGCCTGATCTGTTGGAGAAGGAGGGACCCTGCCTGGAGGGATCCGGCGCTGCGGACGGGGGTTGGAGAATCCCCCATCCTGCCCGCGAAAGGGCTGCCTGTGATAAAAGGACTGGTGTCTAGAGGAGGCGAGTCTCCACTTAGCATGGGCATCTGCCTGCCATTGCTTGAGGCAGAGAAGCCTGTGGGAAGTGACAGAAGAAGCGATGGCCTTGGAAGCCAAGCCGGCTGCGTCCAGGGATGCATCGGCCGTGTATTCTAGAGCCGCCTTTAGTTTGTTAATGTCTCTGCGTGCCCTAGAGTCCTTAGAAGGAAGTCTCTCTTGCAGCTGTCTCAGCCAAAGGGGAGCCAAGCGACTGAAAGTGAGGCCGACATAGCAGCATGGACAGCCCATGCTGACGCCTGATGCCCTTTAACGAGCGTTTGTTCAAGCCTCTTGTGCTCAGCACGAAGTGCTTCCTCAGGGCAGCCAAGGCTGCAATGGGGGAAGACAAACTGACCACTGGCAAGTCAATGGATGGTACCTCTAGAGCTTTGGAAAGCTCAGGTCCCATGTTGTATAGGCATTTATTCAAGGTGTTGGGAAGAGGACCTGTACCTGGAGAGACCCACTGGTTCTGGACCACATCAATGAATAGTCTTGGCGATGGAATCACCTCCTTTTTCATCTTGGATGAAGAGAGTATCGGTGGTGTCCGTCTTGTCCGCATCCGTACTTTGGGGGGCCTTGGGAGCAGAAATACCCGCAATTTTCTTTGCCTTAAAAAGAAGAGATTGAAAAATAGCTGGTTTAAAGAAGGCAACAAACGTAGGAGGATCAGGAGGAAGACCCTCGTCCTTGGAAAGATCTGAATCATGGGTGGGACGCTCCTCTTCTCCAAAGACCGAGGGTTGGCTGGAGATGCCAGGTATGTCATGCGTTGAAGAAGCATCTGGAACTGGAAAAGGAAAACCTGCGTGAAGTAGAATGGGAAGAAGACTTCTGTTTGAGACCCACTGCAATGCCCCGTTCGATGGCATCGGAGATGATAGTAGCCATGTGAGGGGTGTAAGGCTGTGGCCTAAATGGAGGAGTGTCATCAATCTGGGACAGGACTTCCCCGTCTGGAGTTATGCTCCTGCCATCATCCGACTCCTGCCCACTGCTGAGATCCTCGCCTGTATCCCTGGCTTCCTCAGGTTGGATAATGAAGGCCGCCAGAGACAACTTGTCGTCTGAGTCGGAAGATAACTCAGCAGGTGGACTAGACTCCACAGGCCTCTGGGACTGGAAAGGATGGGTCTCCGAGTGCTTAGTCTTCCCCTTGGACATTCTGGGGGGAGCTTGTGGTGCCTTTCCACTCTCCTCCGAAGAAGCATTAACCGCGGTCTTGTGGCTAGACCTGGGGCCCTTAGAAGGAGGCCCAGTAGGTGATGCCTCTGGGGCAGGCCTACGCTTGCTTGGCCTGGGCTGTGGAGGTGCGGTAGGAGGGCTCAGGGCCTGAGGCGCTGGATGGGCCTATGGATCTTGAGGGGGAGTAGTGGCCATAGTACTTACGACCGTTGAGTCCAAATGGCTGCTGGGAGGCTTCCCGCCCAAACAAAATGGCCACCAAGGCTTAAAAACCTATGGGCCAAGGTCTACGAGGCTGAGAAGACAGTGGCTGCTGGGAGGGTGATGAATCAGCCCTGTGGGGCGGGTGCCGGCGCCTGTGGCGGTGGCAAAGGGTTTGCAGCGCCGGTGAGGCTTGCGGCGCTGGCTTTGGGGTGGAGGCTGTGGTGCTGTGGTGGCTTCCACAGTGGCAGCAGTTGTGGCAATCTTCACAGGGGCTGCTGAGGCTTGCAGCAAATCTGCAATAAGGCGGTGGCCTCCAATGGCCAGTGCCAGGCAGCAAAGGGGCAATGGGGGCCCTTAAGCCCATCTGTGGTCACAGCAAGACCTGGAAGCTGAAAGCCCGAGAAATCCTTGTGGCATCTCTTCAGAGCCTCAAAGAGAGGCTAGAGCCCTGCCTCAGATCCTGCCTTCTGCAATCAATTTGGAAGTATTTTTGTTTTTTTGAAATAGCCAATTATAATTTTGTTGAAAAAATAGCCAATTGATTAAGTTTTTAGCCAAAAATTGGAGGAGAGAGCAATTAACATAGCCAATCCAGATTCTACTGAGTCTAAAAAAGTGGGAGGATGATCCTCAGAGGCTATGACATTAATTTAGTAGACTCAGTCCTATTGGTTACTGGCTGAGTTAACGCATGCATGGCTGCTGTCTCCACCAACTTTGGAGAAAGGCTTGCTGGGGAATTATTAACGTTGAACTCACACATCTTAACATTGTCATGGTTGAGAAACACTACAAGGTAAGTAGTATACGTAGTGCAGGCAGACAGTATCCACCAGCAGGAACTCACAGGTTCTGCCTGCTCTCTATAGCGATAGTTTCTAGCTTTCAGTTTTCCAGTTGGAGATGCTTGTAACTCAACACAGAGAGATCTGGACCTGGAACCATTTCTGGCCTTTATAAGTGTGAATAATGCATGAACTCATTACTCAATGGACATCAAATGGGAAGTGAGTGGATTGACTCGTGATGTATTCTCAGCAGCTCAATTGTATTTAGGACCCAAAGAGGCCAACTTTAAATTTTCTGTTATTTTGTGGAGAGAAAAATATTATGATGTGGGAGGAACTGGTGTCCTATAGGACTCTCACATACTTGGCCATATGATCTAATTTTAGAAAATAGGAGCTAGTACAAATGTTAGTTGCAACTAGATACAGTAGCTGGAAGAAAAACTACCAGTACTAACGATCCTATCTGCGTCAGTCACTGGGACCAAAGGTTTATTCTTCTAAGCTTCTGGGCTTGTGCTGCAGCCCATCTTCAGGGAACTTCTCTCTCTCAAGAATATGTGCACTGGGCTATTCTATGCATTTTATTTATATGATGCCTGGTAGTGTGTAGCTTTTAGTTGTTAATGAGAGTGTTGATGGCTGGTGGTAAATCTGATTGCATCCTGCAACATTATCCTGGAACATGTAGATTTACCTTCATTTGCAAAACTACTAAGGTTATAAACATTGGTCCTCTTGTACCAGTGATGGGATTCAATTTTTTTTACTACCGGTTCTGTGGGCGTGGCATGGCTTGGTAGGCAGGGCAGGGGAAGAATGCTGTAAAATTTCCATTCCCACCCCACTCTAGGGGAAAGTTGCTGCAAAATCCCTCCCGATCAAACTGGGACTCAGGAGGCAGAGAATAGATGGGGGTGGGACCAGTCAGAGGTAGTATTTACTAGTTCTCCAAACTACTCAAAATTTCCACTACCGGTTCTCAAGAACTGGTCAGAACCTGCTGAATACCACCTCTGTCTTGTACCAAAGTCTGACAGAACACATTCTAAAATGCTGGACAATAGGTATCAAAGGGAGTTGTTTGGAGGAACTTTCCTTCCTACTGCATATTAATAATGCCTTAAAAAACAACACTAAAACATCTTAAAGATGCTAGTTGAAAAATTCAAGCACTTAATTAAGTAAGGCATGCCACATAAACACTTGATTATAAGCAAACTCTGAGAAATAAAGCAGCATGTGTATTGTTAAATGCAGTGAAGGGGAAAGTTCAATATGGAATCAAAGACCTCTTTTTGACATAGCAAAAATAACTCCAGCTTTTATACAAAGTCTGTCTCAAACTGATGGCTCTTAAATAGATTGTGCAAGTTTAGAACTAGCTCTGACAGTCCATTTTATGCTGTTTAGGATAAGTAACATATGCAACTGTACCACATAGGGGTTCAACTAGTTACCTCTTTTGCTTAGTATTGTCTATTATACAAGAATTGTTCCAGGTCTTATTTCTTTGCATCCTAGCTGTGTAGGATGGAAGACCGTGTGAATGGGAAAACTGGCATATATAGAAAAGTAAGTATATTTGTGGAAACATGAACACATACAAATACACATGCATACATATAGTGACTCAGAGAAACAAATAATAAGCATACTGTTAGCTCCATTTATGCAGGAAATGAAGGTGCATGATAACCATGAAACATATTTTTCATTACTTACCTAAATTTGTCAGAAAAAGAGCAACCTTTTCATGCAACTGCAAAAAATGAAAACATGGCATATAATTTTAATGCACTATATAAATCACATTTGATTAACATTATGTGCTTACCACCTTCACTCCTTATTTCTCTATTCTAGCAGTGATAATGATAGCTTTAGAGGCAAAATCTTACTGACCTTTCTTTTAAAAATGCCTATGGAGTTAGAGCATTTTGAATATCCACTGAGTTTGGATATTCAATATTGGTTTGAATTGTAAAAATCTATATTTTGAATCAACTAAGACAGTGCTTTGAGAAAGAATATTTGAGATGAATTATTTATGTTTTATATTTATTATAAATGCAAATAAGCACTTTCTTTTAAAGTTAAAACTCTGATCGTTGGAGGAAAAGCTGGAATAGAAAAGAAGGGCAATTTATTCCTGTTCTAATATTTGTATGGCCTTGGTGTGAGAAGAAACTGTTTTCCTCCAAAAATAAGTAAATGCATTAATTTTTTTCAATTTCTTCTGATTACCAGACAGATTATAAAAAGGCCCATTTTTCCATATTGGTTTCTCCAAGTAATTTAGCATTTATCTAATATTTATTGTATAAAGAAAGTCTATGCAGTCATTAGGAGTTGACACCAATTTGATGGAATATAATCAATAATGTATTTATTAGATTCACATAGGATTTGTACTGCTAGTATCTAATTTTTTACATACTTAAAAAAGAGATGGCATTAACTGACTTTTCAACAATGGGACTGCTTTTTTTATCTATTTTACTATAAACTGTGCTTAAAAAATCAAAGTGAAGAACACTATTTTTCCAAATTGTATTTCCAAACCAAGGTAAATGGAATGGTGGGCTCTGATTTTATATTTTAAACAATTTTCAATCATTACTCTATCTTTAGTTGAATATTTAATGTCTCAATTTTTTAAATAAAATAAGCAGGCAAAAAAATAGTTTGTTCGCATTGTAAAAATGTTGAAGTGTTATTCCATCCATCCATCACCTACCTACCTATCTATCTTATTTGCATTTATAATAAATACAAAACGATCAAGTCTCAAATATACCGTTCTCAAAGTACTGTCTCGGTTGATTTGAAACATAGATTTGTACAAATGCAAACCAATATTGAATAGGGAAACAAGTGGGATTCAAAATGCTCTAACTAGCTCTGTAGGCATTTTAAAAAGAAAGTCAGTAAGATTTTGCTGAATGCTGCATCTATATCTATCCATCTATCCATCCATGTAATACTCTGCTCTACCCCCAGGAGCTTCCCAAGATTTGGATCATACATATGTCATTTTTGTTGAGATATTCCTCTTGGATTTCTCAAATGTTTACTGAGCCTTTAACACATTTGAGATATTCAATCTGCAATTGAATTTTGCTATTGTTTATTTTTAAATGTCCACAGTGGATCTCTGTTATGCCAGAAATATGCATGAAAAGCAGTATTGATATAATCAGTGTGATCCTGTAGTGTGCGTGCATTTATAAAACATTTTATGATTCATCTAAAATAACTATATCAATAAACTTTTTAAATATAAACAAACTTTGGCTAAACCACCATATACTACAAGTTGTGCAATAGTTCTGATGAGACTATTTCTTATTACAGAAATCTGAGTACAACTAAGAAACAACCTAAACACAGATTGAAATTAATCAAGGTGTGAAAAAATTTCCTTACAACATTCAGCAGCATGATGATGCAAAAGTTGATGCATACTGCAGTCCCAGTTGTTGCAACCTGAGAGTTATTCTTGATTAAAGCCCATTTAAAGGCAGCAAAAGTGCTGACAGTCACAACACGATAAATAACAATGCCAAAAACAGCGGCGATCACTACACAAATCTAGAGAAAGAAGTGATAGAAAGAACATACAGTATATCTTAGAACCAGTACAGTAGCTCTCAACAACTGAATAAGAAGTCCAGTAAGTAATCTATAAATGTACTCTGTTTTTCTTAAATGGGACATTTGTGGGTCCGATTTTCTTCCGCATTTCAATGTGATCTCTTCCTATTATTAGTGTCATGGCAAGAAATAATGTTCAAGCACTCAAGTGTCAGATTAACAGGGTCAATTATGCAATTTAATTTTCTGAAGATAAAATTTCATGCTTGTAGGATTTTGTATTCTGTGAGTTTTCATTTCCCAGTGAAATTACTTAACCTTGCCTCATATCCAAGGGCTGGCAATTTTTTCTGAAGGATTCAGTCAGGGTGAGATTCAGAGAAGCAATTAAACTAATAGTTTGTTAATTGCTGCTCTGATTAAAAGAGATAAAGAAATTTGCTTAATTGCTCTATTGAAGAGAGATTTTATTACAAGAACAGAGCCTATTATGATGAACCTTTTCTCTCAGTAAAGTCAATTAACACTGATCTGCAATAGTAAAAAAACACAAACCCTAAAACCAAGTCTTAGATGAGAACTGAGAGAAGGAAGTAATGACCATTACAATAAATATGGATATGCAAATCTTGGAGTAGTCTCAGTATAGAATAATTATGGAATTCTTTGGGACCTATAGATATTGAAGCACTTATTTGATAGAAGCTATTGAAAATAAAGGAGATAATGAATAAAAGCAAGGAGATAAGAAGCAGCAAGCAAAAGTCAAATGAAAACAGGCTAATAACTGCTTTGATAATCTCTCGACTTTTGAAAAGCACTTAGTTACAACATAGTAACATTCAATTCCCTCTACTGTAAAATAAATGCTGGCTCCATTTATTTTAATATTAAATGACCCCTATAAAATGAAGTTCATCTGTTTGAAACAGATATTTTCAATATTTGAAGAACACATTTCAACAAATAATGTTTTAAATTAATTAAACATTTCATTAACTTTGAATCAAATGCTAAAGGATCAGTTTCAGGCTATCAATTATTTTTATTACATAGTTAAAGTTAAGCTGATATAAATAACAGTCAAAATAAAAAACCTATAAAATAATAGTTGATTGTTTTGAAAGCTAAAGTTATTTAGGCGTAAGTTTTCTTCCACTTCACATAAGCACATTCAAGAGCAAGGAGACCTCTATATCACAACCACTACAATCACTTTACGCAAGCAGTGGGATCTGCAGGAAGCTATGATGACACTGTAGGAAGTCAGCACAACCCCCCCACCCGCCCCACAGAAAGGAGGCTTTCCTACAAACAAATCATGCATTTCTCTCCATTACCAGGAAAACACTCCAGGCAGTCCCTCCAATATTTAGGTTTTATGAATGAGATACTTTTGTATCTACTGAGAAAACTGGAGCATTCCATTCATTATCCATTTACAGAAAGCCAGACAGCTCCATTCATAAACAAAATGTCTTCAGCTACAGCTCCCACAGAAGGTTGAAGCTGATGGGATTAAAAGCAGAAAAGCAAAGACTCCTAAAATCTACATTCCCTACCTAGCTCCAAGGACAGGGCATAACCTCCCAGCCACAATGGGAGGCAGGCAACAATAATTAGAAAAAATTAGAATAGCACACTCAAGCACAGGCCAAAGTACATTGCACAAGAACAGGCATCTCAATCACAAAACCCCATAGAATTTATAAAAACCCACCTACTCTCAACCCCAACCCCATTTCACCCCAGGAACATGTTGCTGTCACTTGTTTCTAGCTACCAAATAAACAGAGACTTACTTTCCTGCAGTCTGCCTCCATTTTATTTTCAGCATCTTTCTCCCGGCTTGGAACCGGGCCGGATTTTACTTCCAGCAACACCAAATGATATGCATGTCATAATGTCATGGCTTGAATACTGTTATTATTTGTATCAGATACCCTGATACAAAACCATAATCATTATGCCATTATCCATGTGTTTTCATTTATTTCAACCTATCCCATCCTGCCCCTCATCCCAGCCAACACTCATTCATATAAACATTTAGAGTTAAGCTGATAGCCTAATGATGTTTCCAGGAGACACCAAACCTGAAGTAGACTGAAGCAGCCTGAAGATGACGAATGAGACTTCGTCGAAACGTCGCCAAGACATCTCCAATTCTACGCNAAAAAAGGAGGAACAAAAAACAGAAACAATTTAAAAGCAGTCAACAGCCACACAATTTGAGTGGGGACGGGAATTCATCAGCCCCAGGCCTGTTGGAACAGCCAGGTTTTGACGGCTTTGCGGAAAGCCTGAAGGGTAGAGAGGGTCCGAATCTCCACGGGGAGATCGTTCCAGACGACTAAAACTGGCACCCAACAAATCCTATGATCACGGCCATCTGTGTCCTACAAATCAACTCACAAGGCCCCAATTCAGCCTCTTCCCACTCTGGGTGTTAACCGAATATGGTTAGTCATCCTGTTATCTCCTGGCCATGGTTCCCGCCTTTTTAGCAGAGCAGCAGAGAGGGCTAATTTCAAACAGCTTTTTTTCCTTTTGCTGAAGCCCGATTTCTCTGCTGCTTGGCGAGTGATCTGGCGGGTGTTCGAAGGTGTTGGGCATGCCACAAAAGGCACGTGTGTCACACACACACACCGTGCTTGCCGCGGTGCAAGGCACATGTGTAAGGGGGGCTGGATCAGCTGGGAGGCTGGCAAAGAAGTCTTGATTTTCCTCGCTGCTGCAGCTCTCAAAGGAAGGAGGCAGGAATGCTGCCAATGCTTGCTTCCGTTACCGCTCACAGCTGCTCTCTCCCTCGCCCCCAGCTACACAGGGTAGGTGGGGCTGCAGCCGGCAGGCCACTGGGGCAGCAGTGGCAAGTGGTAAGGGAAGCGAGTGCTGGCCATAATCCCTGCTTCCTTCCTCTGAGAGCCGCTGCTGGGGAGAAATCAGATGGAGAGAGGGAGGAGAAGGCCATCCCTAGGAGAAGTTCGGCTTTATCCTCCCTCTCTTCCCGATTTCTCCCCACGGCAAGCAAGGCGGCTTTCAAATAGAATGAAGCATGGGCGCTTCTTCCAACAGCTGAGGCCTCTACTCCTCTTCCTTCCTTGGCTGTTGGAAGAAGCGCCCACACTTCATTCTCTTTGACAGCTGCCTTGCTTGCCGTGGTGAGAAATCAGGGGGAGAGAGGGAGGAGAAGGCCATCCCAAGCAGAAGCTTGGCTTTATCCTCCCTCTCTCCCCCTGATTTATCCCCACAGCAAGCAAAGCACTTTTTCCAACAGCTGAGGCCTCCGCTCCTCTTCCTTCCTCAGTTGTTTCTTTCTTTCGCTGGTATGGGGGCGTGGCTAGGCCACTATTGGTCCTGTCTGGTACGCCAGACTTCCACTACCTCCTCTGGCGTACCGTATCATACCATATCGGGAGGAACCCACCCTGGTGTGTGTGCTCAAAACCAGCAAACCTATGTGCTGAAGCTGACCAGACTAAGGATGCTAGGCAGATGAATACCTTGTAGGCAGATTCCTTCCCCTATTTTGCTCCCCCAAAATTAAGGTGCATCTTATACTCCAATGCGTCTTATACTCTGAAAAATACAGTAACTAGATCCTACATGTCGAAACCTCGAGAATCCTCAAATAAGCCTCTGCAGAGATGGATGGAATGGACACAAGCAAAGTATCCTTGGGCTGTTTTTTCACTTGGTTAGCCCTGGTAGAATTATTTAACAGTAGAAGGATTATTTTAACCAGTTAACAAATAAATGTACAAAGGGAAACAAGTAAAATTACCCCAAAAGGCTAGAGAAAGATCTCCACTCCATATAAATATACCTTCTGTATATTTAATTGAACATGCATCAGTTCCTGTGCTTCTGCTGTAAAACCACTTTAACCTGTTTGAAATTCTTCATTCTACTAATATAGTAGGTACAAAGGCTTTCAGGAATCATTTGTCATATTCCTCTCTTAGTGCCACAGTTTTCACAAGAACAACATCTGTCAGAGGAAACCTTCCTAAGTGGTTTACCAAATCACTTTGATAAATCAGAAAATTTGTAATGATATATTATACCATTTTGATATGATGTTAATAATATAACACTTGTTTCATTCCCAAAGAAAGCAGCAATAAGACATATTTTTCAGTTTAACAGTGAAAAAAATAACAGGGCAGGTTAGTCTCCTGGCACTCACAAGAGTTCTTGAGAATTTCAAATACATATTGTGAATCGCCACAAATAAAACCTCAAAATATATCTCAGTATTTTAGGTTACCTATATATTCTCAATACAAATGGATTTTTTAAAAAAAACTTACCGTATAAGATCCAAAGGTTGGTATTTATACCAAGCTCTCCACGAGGCCCAGCATTCATAAAGTAGATGCCTGTGGTTTTCTGCCCCATGACTTCTTATAGAATTTTTACTTTTGTAACTACCCTAAAATACAAGTAAATAAAGAAGAATTCATTAATAGATATTTATAAATATCTATGAATAATATTTTAGAGTATTAAATTCATAAATATAGATTTAACATTTTATCACTAAAATTATCTGTTATAATTGAAATTATTATTAGCTTGTGATCTATACCATCTCAGAAACTTAAGAATGAAGTTATACATCTATATACAATTTTCTGAGAATAAACCTTACTGAACACAATGGAGCTCATGCTTTAGTTAGACCCCATATTTCAAAGACACATCCATAATTTTTGAAGTTTGCTTTGTAAGAATGGAGGTCTTTTTAGTTCCAGATCTTAACTTAGTGTAAAAATAAGTGCAGTGTTCATAATGAAATACTGAATTTGATATTTTGTAGTAAAGCTATGCATATTTATAAAATTAACCAAAAAGAGAAAATACTAGTTATTATGTATGTGTAGAAACCGTTTTCCAAACTTCCGTTTCTCTTAAAATATGTAATTTTGCCCAATGATTACAGGTAAGTCTTTGTCTTACGACCACAATTGAACCCAAAATTTATGTTGCTAAGTGAGACATTTGTTAAGTTAATTTTGCCCCATTTTATGACATTTCTTGCCACAGTTGTTAAGTTATTAACATAGTTGTTAAGTGCACTGAAATTTCCACAGATGGTCCTGAATTTATATCCTTTCAGTCCATCATTCATTGTTGATTTAAAAAGCTGTAGGTCACCTTTTATGAACATCATTTTCAGACACATTTCCTTAAATATGAATTTATACATCAAACCTTTAAATTACTCTTTGCCTTGTTTTGGTTATTATTAGTTGTGACTTCAAAGGCATATCTTTCTAAAAAAAAGACTCTGAAATTGTATTTTGTTTCATTTGTCAAATGAGATGACCTAAATGGTTTCTACCCTTAATATAGAGAAAATCAGAATTAGTGGCCCAACAATAATGGTGGGAAGTAATTGGATTTTAAAAAATAAAAAGAAGGAATACCTCATGAAGGGGAAATGCAGCTTCATAGGAACCATTAGTAAGCAACCGATTGAGACCTAGAAATAGAAATATTTAACATATAACAGAAAAAGTTGGAATGAATATAATATATTGCATCTAGCATTAATCTAGAGTCATGTGTGCTTACATTGAATAAATCAATCAATCTGACTGTGTATTCGAAGAGTTGGCAGTAGGTGTAAGCATGAGAAGATACAACTTACAAAAGGTACACACATATTTTAGTATTTTTTCCTGAAATTATTATTGAATTAAAAGGTACAAAAAGGAATGATTTTGATAGCTAATAATTTTATCAAGAAATATATACTAGTATCAATAGTCCTCAACTTACAACCATAATTGAGCCCAAAATTTTGGTTAAGTAAGACATTTGTTAAGTGAGTTTTGCCTGATTTTATGACCTTTCTGGCCACTGTTGTTAAGTGAATCACTGCAATTGATAAATTAGTAACCCAGTTGTTAAATGAATCTGACTTCCCCATTGATTTTGCTTCTCAGAAGGTCGCAAAGTGGGATCACATGACCTTGGGACAAAGCAATGGTCATAAATATGAATCAGTTGCCAAGCATCTGAATTTTGATCACATGATCATGGAGATGCTTTAAAGGTTGCAACTGTGAAAAACGGTCATGTCACTTTTTTCAGTGCTGTTATAACTTTGAAGATCAATAAATGAACTGTTGTAAGCTGAAGACTATCTATATTGCAGCTTCTTTTAACTCTATTCTGTGTAATAGGAAAGGTTGNTAGTTTTCTGGAAAAACAATGAATTAAAATTTTCAAACCATAAAAAATATTCCAGATGCAGAAACAATCATTCTGCTGCATTTATCTGCAAATGCTTGATAAGGCTCTGGTTTTCCGGATATAGGATTCATTCTCTCTTTCTTGGAGTACTTGGCTTCAAACTGGGGGCGTATTTCTTCCTAAAGAATACAAAAAATTTAAAAAGAATTAGATGTAATTGTGTAGAAGCTTTTAATTTTATCAAGCTTTTGCTAATACATTACATTCAGCCAAGCCAGTAGGACAAGATGTTAAAAATATTTAAAAGAATTGCTAAGAAACTAATAAAATACTATTGTAATCCTTCAGAAAGAGATAGATATATCTTTACAAAGCTAAAGGATTATTTAGTTTTTGACAATACAGTACAGGAAAATTCTTCAAAGTTCAGGAAAATTACTGTTTCTTCCATCTTGTTGCCTTTTACAATAAAAACATAGCAATTGAAGGTTAATTATGATATTTTAACTAAGTTTCTTGCAGCAATGCCAAAGAATTAATGAGGTTGGGGCAGCATCAGAGAATCAAAAATAAAAAAGGACCCTTTATGAGCTATCCTCAGCTGCCTGGCCTGCTTGATCTCATAAGATAAACATCATGGCCCTACTGCTACTTTTTGCCATTAGTTCATTAATTGCACTCATTTCTTTCAATGGCAGGTCCATTTTACTCAAAAGTTGATTCTGAAGTGATGCTTTGCTTGATTCTGTAATAACAGTGACCTTAGATGGCCTAAGATAACACTGATGTTTGGTGTTTGCCTCTGGGCAAATTAACATATTGGCGATTACTGCTACAAGCAGAGTGCTGACCTGGTTCTTATGTGGGGATTGAAGAGTTCAGTATTTCTTTTATACATGCTTATTATACCAAAAGAATTCCAAATGAACACATAATTTAATTTTACACATCCCTTCATTTATCTAAAAACTAAACAACTGACACTTTGTGTAATTAGGTCTTTATTTTCTTTGAAAAAAAATGTATGATTTGCTGCCAGTTTTCTCCAAATTAGAACTATAGAATAGTTGATGACTAATCCGTTATATGAGTTTCTTCTCTGCAAGAAATGGATATAAGATTCCTTAACATTGCTTGGCGTTGGTTTTTTTTACAGTCGCCCATCATTTTCTGTTCACTGTTTCACATTGGTCAGACTGTTGACTGATTTGCATCTTCTGCAAGACAGTGACTCAGCTGAAATGACATAGACTACAATAGCTAAAACAGATACATCATGAAACAAATTAAGCTCTATGTAGCAGGCAATCTTCTTCAGTATTTTCTGTTTAATATTATAACCGAGTCTGTTAATAGTACATTAATATTAGTTTAAATTGTGACATATTATCCATACAAACCTCCTCTTCCTCCCAGTCAATTAAGTCCCAGTCATAAGCAATTACTGCTCGTCTTCTTTTCCAAAATTCCAAAAAAACAGTGGCTACAGCAGAAAAATAGAAGGAAAAATATGTCTGGTCATATTATTGAATGGAAATTTGCAAGAGAGCTCTGTATCCCCCCCCCTTGCAACCAGAAAATGTGTGTGTGTGTGTGTGTGTGTGTGTGTGTAAAAACAATTCCTCTGATAAATGTGGTTACTATGTTATGAAAATGGCAAGTCTCTGGTGTAGTGTATAATGGAAAAATCACAGAAAGAGGGATACCTAGAAGGCTGAATCAATCTTGAGCTGGTGAGACTCAAACTGCTGGCAGTCAGCAGAATTAAGGTGGATAATGACAGTTGATAATGCATTCTGTTCATTGTTGCCAATCTGCTTTAGGATACAATCAGAAAGTATAATTTCTTTCCGATTTCTAGTTTAATTATCTGGGATAATTCAATATGTCCCTTATTAACAGAAGAAACCTACAGTTATCTTGTTGTGCTATATGGACTTCAAGGGACAAATGGTGAACTGAAGACAGCTCCATGAAAAGCTAAAGATGGTAGTGAAATTAATACCAGTGAGTAGAACAGTTCTTCATAGATCTGTGTGGTCAGCCCTGATCCTCCTGATCATCTGAAGAGCCCAAAGACCTGGCTCTGCCAGTTGGCTTGGAGCTCCAATGGGGGAATATAACAATGGAGGTGATTGATCAATTAACAATAGATACCACCTCCCCCCCCCATCCTGCTTCCCCCCTACCCCCAATCTTTTAACTGGGCCATGAAGTTCTGGATTTTATACAAGCTTATTTATGTTTTTAGCCATATAGTGGGGCTTTTTTAATGATTGTAAGTAGCCCAGAGTTACTTTGAAGTAAGATGGGTGACCTATAAATAAATAGATAAAATAAATGAATAATTCTGCTCTGCACAAGAAGAGAACTTGAGATCACCTAAAAGTGCTTCAGACACTTTCTTTTCTGAGGAGACTGCAAGACAGTGGCCTCTGGTAGGTTTAGAGCCCTGTGAGATCAGCAAAAGCCATCTTGTTTAAACTGTGGTAAGTGCCTTTGAAAGTTTACTGGACTTGCATACCTCCTTTTCTAATCACTTTTGGAAATTGCTTGTTAGGGATGATTTGATATTTGAGTTTGAGGAAACCAGGTGAGTTTCCTTCAATCCAAATAACAAATGAAGTTTAAAATACAAATTTAAGGACTTATTTTTTTTTATGGAATAAATAGCAAAAGGGTGATTAAATATTTGATTTTTAGAAAGCTACAGACAAACTAAGGGTACGGAAAAATTTGAAATAAGATTTTAGAATTAATTATAAAGAAGCCTCGCTGTGGGAAACACTTCTGTTTTAATTTCTTTTAAAAAATAAGATAAATTTCTTGTTCTTGTATACTGTTCCTATTTAGTTTGCAAAGATGAGGGCAGATAAAAATAGAAGCGTTCACTTTTAAAGGACAGAACAGAGGAGTAGAAGTACCTCAAGAATTTCATATCATTGAACTAAGTCTGCTGAAGTTAAGCACATCCTCCATGTATTTATTTTAAACACAATTACATTAGTATTATTCCCTTATCATCACTTACCCCATACTGCCATGAAAACAGCAAAAAAAACAGTTGCTCCATTGTCAAAAAGATGTGATACCTGGAGAAAAATAATTTTAACTTAAATTCATTTAATTTTTCTTAATTCACATTGGTTTGTGATTTCTAAACTAGACATAGCCTAAATCAATTTTTATTTCTACCCCTCCCTTGGGCTCATCCTGGTCATCGCCTACATTTTCTATGTACCAGTAAGTGAACTTCTACAAAGAATGGTAAATAAATACCTTACTGAAGTTTAAAACTAAATGTTATTTATTTTATTGGAAGGAATTGTTAGGTAATTTTTCATAGTTCTAAAATGTTTTCACTAGATTCTACTTGTGAGGTTCTCATGGGAACAGAAGAGGATCTTTGCTAATGAGATTAAATCAAGGACTAAAGGTGAAACGCGAAAAATTAGAATATCATGAATACTGAAATAAATGAACTTTTGCACGACATTCTAATTTTTGGAATTTCACCTGTATTTTGTTGGACAATGCAGGTAAAAAATGGGCTTCACAGCACATGACGGCTCAAATGTAGCATCTGTCTGAAATTCTTTAAAACAGCTGTATCTTTCCCAGGATCGTAGGGCAAATGCTAAGTGTTGCATTTAAACACTCACAAACTGTGAAATATATTTTCCAAATTATTTCTTAAGCGCAGCACAACTCCTAGTCTCTGTTCAACAATTGCCTTCAAAACCTCACTGAAAGGTTTTAACAGTTTATGAAAGATCATAAACAGACTCCCTGTCCCCATCAAGAGGCTCATGACTTTCAATAATAAAGGCAATATAAAACAGTAATAATTTTGTGTAACCTTTAATGACCTACAGACATTAAAAACTTGCTGTTCTGTCCTTATTCCTCACTCATTATATTTATCTATCAGCAAATCCTTTAAAAAAAACTAAGTATGCTTAATATTTTAATACCTTAAGAAGCAAGCTCCTTGAAGTTGTTGCATGCGAATCTACAGACTTAAATATCTAGCATTTTTAAATGCAATGTCTTTATTTAGAATACACACACACTCACACACATAGATAAAACTATTGGTAGAAAAAGAAAAGTAGCATTTATTTGTACCTTGGCATAAATGCAGCTATCTGACAACCTCATGAAGGGACAATATTTATCACATATAGGGCACATAATAATCTCTGTAGCCTGGCAGATTTCTTTACTGCAAAAGAGAAGAGATAATTATTACTAACCCAAGTTCTAACTATTGTCTAACTATCTATCTGTTTTACTTTTAAAAAAAACCCTCCCTTTATTTAGACACTATTGGAGTTGTAAAGAAAATGTGCTTTTTCTGTAAAAACTGCATCAATAAAATGTTTTCTTTTTGGCTTAAAATTAATTTAAAGACACATCACCAAGAGTTCAGAACATTAAATTCAACATGTGTACAATTTTTCTCCGCATTTATGTACCAATTCTAATCTGTGCACTATACATCACTTGATACTGTTCCCTCATTGACTAGTTTCCATAAATATATATTTATTTTGTAAAACTCTGTGCTGCTTCCTTATGTCGCAGACAGGAATAAGGGGAGAAACATTTTCTGGGTATGTGTGCTTGCTGTATCTCTAAATTTCCTGCCTTCTTTACTGTGACAAGAAGCACTAGTGTTAAATTTTGCTTCTCAATAGTTATTTTGTGTGTTTCATTGAAATTATTGTAATAAATTCTTCTGGGATGGTTAACTGTTTCGTTATTTAGAATTTTTAGACTACATTAGCCTATATCTATGATGGCGAACCTATGGCACGCGGAGCCATTTGTCAGGGCACACAAGCCTCTGGGGGGCCTCTGGGGGCACGGGGAAGGGCGAAAAAAGTATACCAAAAATGGGGGGGAGCGTTGGTCATGCACGCATGCGTGCTCTGGTTGTGTGCATAGTATTATGGGTGTAGCACGGCCACGCATGACCTCCCTGGGCCCCCCTGCTTTTGGCACGTGAGCCAAAAAAGGTTCTCCATCATTGGCCTATATAATAACCTTTAGTGTTTCATCCCAGTACAAGTGGCACTTTGGAAGGTCAAAGCTTGTAACAAATATAAGCATCTTTACAAGTCAGAGTAGGACAAAACCCTTATTTTACAACAACAACAACCAAAACCCTGCATACAGAATAAATAACTCAAGACAATGAAACAAATGAATTAATCTATACTCTGTAATACCTTTTGATTGCTGACTGACAAGGAATTACCCATTTGCAGAATATTTACAGAATATTTGTAGAATATTCTGGAAAATATTTTCCCCATTTTGACTGATAATGATTTTGGCTGATAAAGAAACAACCTAAATCAATTAAAGCAGCTGAAAAAATGAGAATATGGGAAGATATAAGTAGGATAAAGGAACAAGGGCAGAGAGTAAGATATGAGAAGAGAAGGAGAAAAAAAAATCTGACTAATTTTCTTAATCATATTAAGTTATTTTAATTTGGAACAGAAATAGCTGCCTGTTGTTTTTTTTAAATAGAACATATGGAATCTATGATCAAACTCATGAACTTAAATCAATAAATCAGTATCCAATCTGGGTCAGTCACTGGGACCAGAGGTTTTGTCTTCCAAGCTTTCAGATTTGTGCTGGAGCTTATCTTCAGGAAACTTCTCTGTCGTTTCATCTAGAGAAAGAAGTTTCCTGAAGATGAGCTCCAGCACGAGTCCAAAAGCTCGAAAGACAAAACCTCTGGTTCCAGTGACTGACCCAGATTGGATCCGGTAACATTTTCCTGGGACATGCATATCCACCTTTATTCACAATAAATCAGTGTTTGAGTGATTCAGTAATTACTGTATAGTATTGAATTGGATTATGACCCATTAAACAAATAATAGGATTTTTCTGATATAAAGATAACAAGGTTTGTCCGCAAATGCAAAATACTATATGGCTGCCTGTTGTGGCCCAGCAGGATCCGTTTGAGCTGCTGATGGACTCGGATAGCGAGGAACCCTATGAGTTTGCTA